GCCAAAGCCCAGCATTCCAAGGAAACCCCCAATGGAACATGCTAGATTTAGGGTCTAGAGATCAAAATGTACGAGGAGCAGCTGAGGTCCCTTGGGTTGTGCAGCCCCGAGTAGAGGAGCTGAGGGGAGGCCTGCTGGCGGCTGCAGCTCCTCACAGGGAGCGGAGGGAACGGCATGGAGCTACGCGAGGGGAGGGGCGGGTGGGGGTTTAGGGACAGGTTCTACACCAGAGGGTGATGGGCATGGAATGGGCTGCCCAGGGCAGTAGGCATGGCCCCAAGTTCCAGAGTTCAAGAAGCATCTGGACAGTGCTCTCAGAATCATAGAATAGCTTGGGCTGAAAGAGACCTTAAAGATCCTCTACTTTCAACTCCCAGAAACAATGGTTTGATCATGGATGGCCCTGTGTGGAGCCAGGAGTTGAACTTAATAACCCTTGTGTGTCCCTTCCAAATAGGCTATTCTGTGACACTATCCTCTTCAACTTTCCTTGGACACTGAGATGCTCTCCATGAAGAAGCTGGATATGTAAACCCGTCCTCTCCAACACATCAGGCATGCAGTGATTCCTTCAAGAGTGAGGCAGAAGCAGCCACACTCAGGACATGATGGGATACAGAAAATGGGTTAAGGAGAAAGTTTCGGGGTCATCATGGAGAAAGGGAGGTGGAGGCTGCGTGCCTGAGCTCTGCAGGCTGTATGAAGGGTGTGTGGAGATGTCAGACAAATGAGTTAATACATCAGAGCCTGCCTCTGACAGTTTTGTTAATTCAAGTAACATGAAAGAGGAACAGTTTCTGTGTGACTGGAACACAGCACTGAGTTTGACTGTGGCACCAAATCCAGAGCCAGCCCAAGAGCCAGGAAGAATCACATTGTTCAAAGACAGCTTCTTCTTCAGGAAGTTCAAGTCTACTATAATCATGCTCAGTGGGCCCTGGACTCCATGTGAAGTAGTTGCATGTTCTCAGAAAGACTGCCATCTGAAAATCTGGCTGCTTTTATTCCCCTGCTGGGAAAATTTTTGCACAAATAGACTTGCTTAATTATCCCCAAAAGAGAGGAGTTTTTAGCTTTTAGCTTTGTTTGAATAAAGGGAGAGTCTACAAGGGGCATTTCCCCTGTAGAGGCTTTCAAAGTATCGGGGGACACAGCCCCTCTTTTATCCCTGTACCCTGACTCTTGTGAGCCCTTTCCCCATTGGCTAAGGTATCTGAATACCTCAGGTTCACATTCTTCTCAGCACACCTCAAACACGCCCCCCTCCCCCTACCCTCACCCCATAGGTATCCCCCTTTATTTCCTTTGTTTATACATACTTTGTAATTTGGATTCAGACTTTGTTGTTTTGCCCAACTAGAGCTATCTTTGTATCCTGTTTGACAAAGTCCATCAATCTTTGTGCTGTCAAACAAGCAAGATTTACACACAAGTGCTAAGCCAGGATCTCCAGCCACATACCTGCAAATAAGTTTGTTTAATCAGCTGTTGTTCTCAAATCTTCTTTCATCTCACCCCACAGCTGTGCCAATACTCAGCGGTGTTCTGTGCGTTCCTTACCTCTTCATTAGCAATTCCAAAGAGATTTTTCAGCTTTCTCACTGCAAGGAGGAATGGTGTTGATGTTTCAGAACACTGTTCTTGTTGACAATAATAGCTTTCTGCTGAGCTGTAATAGCTTGTTGACAGCCTTTTGACGTGTACATTGCCGAAGTAGTAACCTAGGACAAACTATTTTGCACTTGTTATCATTAGATCTCATATACCATTTTAGCGTCTATTGTAACTTAATGCATTCATTTCTTAATTTTCACTCTGATGAATATCTGATGTCATTATACTCATAGAATATCCTGAGTTGGAAGTGACCCACAAGGATAATTGAGTCAAACTCCTGGCTCCACACAGGACTAGCCAAAATTCAAACCCTATGCCTGACAGCATTATCCAGATACTTCTTAAAATCTGGCAGGTTGGGGCCATGACCACTGCCTGCCATGGGGAACCTGTTCCATGCCCACCATCCCCTTGCAAAGAACCTTTTACCTAATATCCAGTCTGGTTATTTTTCACTGTCTTTGCTATAAACACTATACTCTCTTATATATATGTCATTTGCAGCATCTGGACACCATCTGATCTTCATGATACGTTGCTACACTTCAAAAAGAACCTTTCATAAATAGTCTGTGCTTGTGCCAATCTAAACGGATATGTCCATATAATGTGGAGAAAGTCCAACCGTAGCTCAGCCCTGCATGTGTTGCTGCCCAATTGACACGCTGACCAGCCACAGAGTTCATTGAACTTCACATTCTTCTCCCACACCTTGCATTAACATGGTTGGTGGGGATTTCTTGATGTGCACTGTGTGCTATGCTACGTCCTGTATGAGCTTTGTTAACACATAAAGTTTTGATTTCAATCAGTCAGCACAAATATTAACCTTTCTTTGCCGTCCCAATTGGCATTGGTTGTAAGAATCTGCATTCAGTGGCACTTTTTCAATCAGAGTTAGTTATAAGTGTTCCAGTTGTAGACAAAGCCTGTGCCAGCTAACGCAGTAAGATGCTTGATGGAAGGGGGAAGGGGATGGAGGCAGGGAATAGGAGAAAATAGAGGGGTTGGCAGAGGTGAAGCTATACTGTTAGCTGAATCAGGGCAATTGGTATAAATGAAAAGGTCTGTAGAAATAATTGGAGTACTCTTGTTTCCAGTGCAAAGCAAGTAAGCAAGAAGCTAAAGGATATCACCACCTTTTCAGGCAAGTGTACTTCCCTGTGTTATTCTCTAAGTAGATGTGTATTTGTGCGGCAATAACACAGAGAATTGCTATGAGCAGTAAGTTGGCATAGGAGAGAACCCTCACTGCAGAAGGACTAGTCATAGACTGCAAGGCTATAAAAATTAATGAGAAAAACATTATACAATAAGTCTTATTCACTATTTTACATTATCTATTCCATTTGCTTAAAAATGTAGGATAAGAATAATCCTCCTTTTCAAAGGAACTAAAATTTGTGTCCACAGAAGAAATGTTTAAGATTTTTTTTTTTCATGCAGGCTGTGTGCTTTATTATTGCTCAAAGCTGATTTCTGTGCTGTTACTGTAAATTTGGGGGAAATGTTAAATACAACATAATCAGGAGGGCCAGACCAATAATAATTTAGAAAGCATTAATGAAGAAAATGCTTTATGTTCCAGTATGGAGCCTCTACAGAACAAAAGCAAAGGACTGAAGCCAACTTGACAGCATGAAGAGGAGGCAAATGCCTGACTGACAGTAGCACAGAAAAAAAACAGTTTGTTGTCTAAACTAAGAAACATGATAAATTCAATCTTAGATTTCAGAGTGAAAGTAATTGTGCATTCTTGAAAATAGGATTGCAAACTTGCTTTCTAGGCTATTGTCTGCTAATACTGCTCTGGCAGGAGCAAAAAAACTTCTTTAGTTAGAGGCCCTGAGTAAAGAATGTAATACTCAGCTTGTCTCTTCCAGCAGAGAATAACATGCCTGCAAAATGTCTGTGGCCAAAATGTTTCTTGATACATTAGGATGTACGTAACCACAAACTTGCAGGCATCTGAAATTGTGCAATCACTCCACTGAAACTGAAAGAGCTTTCATGGAAATTTTCTTCATAGATAAAATAACTTGGAGGCTGTTCATAATACTTTAATAAATAAATAAATAACCAACAACAACACAGCCGTTTCTATGTAAACATTAACAGTAGACCTGTCTCAATCTATCACGGAAAGCATTTTTTAACAAGATGTTACTTTAAAAGGAAGAAATGGGAGGAGCACTGGCTTACGATTGAAAGGTTTGGGATGTTTGTATTTTTCCTTTGGGTCTTTGTGGCTTACAGAATGGAACACGCAACACGATGCAACGCTCCTGCTTGTTTTCCAGTTGGAATACTGAGGCTGACTGGAGGAATATCTGTGTTTGAATGCAGTTATTTCCCATCTGGATTCTGATTAAGTCCTGTTACGTGGTGCTTCAACTCAGTCCAGAGACTGAAGACTGTAAACGTGCTGCATCAGTTCCTCCTAAATGCCCTTTGGCACTCGACAAATTTATGCCTTACTACTGGTCTTGTTGTTCATGGGGAAACAGAAATTCCAGGTTAGTGCTCTTGCATTTATTAACTTCTTCATCTGTCCAGAATTGTTTATTTTCTAAATGTTTACTTGTTTTGGTAGATATTGTGCTGTGCATCGTGCTGATCTTTGTCCAAAGTACTTCAAAGGGAGGACAATATATTGTTTCAGAAGACACAGATAAATACACTGGGTAAGTTGTTTCATTCTTTGCTTAGTATTTTATTTTTTTTTTATCTTTTTTAAAAGCATGCTTAATTAAAATAAGATCTTAACACCAGGTCAGCCTCTTTTGTGTATGATGCATTATGTCAGAAATTATTAGAAAGGCCAAAAATAGACAATCATGGTTAAGAAAACTGAGATGATAATTATTCTATAATGAATAGACTAATAGAAAATATACAAAAGTCCGCAGATTAACATTGCTGTTTGAAAAGAAATAATACCTTCCCTCTGAAAATCTTTCTACTTTGCCAAATCCTGCCGTAGGGATAAATATATTCTTTGCACAGTGTTAGTAACACGTCTCATCATGCCTTTTTAAGTTAACAAGGAGTTAGACAGCATTCACTTGTCAATCTCTGGAAAAGTGATCTCATCTTCAGTGTAGATGGATAGAGGTTTTTCTGGTTTATTGTTTGTTTGTTTGTTTTTAACCTGCCTTTTGTCTTATTCCTGTCACAACTTTCTAAGGAATAGAGAGCAGCTGGTAAGTAAGCTGTCTGCTTCTGCCTGCTAATGACCTCAGTTGGGGTTGTTTGAAGAAACAGCATTCCAGGAGAGTCTGATCTTCCTTCTTGACAGCTCTTGTTGATTTTAGTATTCATGTAATACTATAATAAATATAGCAGCTAAACACAAGGCTAATCAAAGATTGAGAGGTTATTCATATCAGCATTAACTACGCCGTCCTGCCTGCAGATTTTGAAGCAGCAGTTAGTCACTATTCAGCTACAGTAACCTCTCTGCTAAAGGAAGCATATCACCTACTCTCTGATAAGCTGCTACTTGGTCTTTTTCCTGCCTTAGATTTGGACTAGAGTAGCTTCCCTCTGAAATATCCTCCATGACTTGCTTTGTAACACAGAGGATCTCCCTGGTGCAGATCCCTAGTCCAAGAAAACCAGCCTCTGACCACAGGACGGTGAATGGAGCATGTTAATTGTTTAATTCATCAAAACATTTTTATAAGCATAAAATTTAAAAACCAAAAGGAAAGCTGATGTTTCCTATTGAGTGGGATATTTTCTTTAGAGGAGATCAAATTGATTTTTTTTTCAAATTTTTATTTTATGCTATCCCTACCTAAAGCATAATCCTATTTTGTTTGCTAGTCCTCCTCTCATAATGGAAATGTTTAACAGGATTACTGCCATGAATGCTCCCTTTAAGATCTCTTGAAGCCTGTGCTCAGCAACATTATTTTGAAGTTTTATTTACACGTTGTAGCCATGTTGGAAACTGTTGAAATCTGACTTCATTCTCCAGCTAGTATTAATATAGAGAGATATCATTGTTGGTTACTGCTTTTATTTTATCTTATTTTTCCTATGTACTACACACAGGAAAAAAATATAGCCAGAGTGTTCTTGAAGAAGATACTGAGATTTCTCACAGTTTTTAAAATGACTTTATACACATATATTGGCTTCTAATGCAAACAGAATATTCTAGCCTTTGTTTTTAAGTGTTGTAAGTGGCATCTATAACATCATTTTCTAACTGCATTTAGAAAACCTTTTTATTATTGTCTGTTTTGAATTTGCTGTGTTTGTTGTTGTCATAGCTGACTTCTGTCGTTAAGAAATTTTTTGGCAGTAGACAACAATCAACGTAATTTAAAAAACATTGAATTGTTTGAAATAACATTAAGGATGTGACATTCTAAACACTCTCAGTTTACAAGAGAATCTGTTGGAAGGAACTGTGTTTGGTATCAGGGAGATCTTCTGAGTTACAAAATGGTTATTTACTATTTCTTGAACTAAAAGCTTGGAGTTTCAAAGCAGCCTAGGATAGATGCAGTTTTTCCCATGGGAAGTCTCTGTGAGCAGTTTTTAAGACATCACGTTTCTGTAACCCCAGACCAAGCATTGCTTAATCATTTGGCAAAGGTTAATTACCTTCTCAAGAAGGAAGCAATCATTCATTAGGCTGTAGATTCCTGAAAGATGGGAACTGTTTGAGAAAATCCTCCTGTGACACACTAGCCCTGCACTATTTTATGGAAGAACTGTCTTTGATTCAGCTTTGGTTTTCAACTATTAGCAAGCTGTTCTTTTCACTTTTACGTAGGACATCTGGTGGTGGCTTCACAAAAAAAAAAAGAAAAAAAGAAAAAAAAAAGAAAAAAAAAAAAAAGAAAGAAACAACAACAAAGAAAACCACAACAATAATCATCTTTTGAGAATTATCTGTATATGGTGGTGTTTTCCTTCTTTCCTTCTCAGCTGACCGTCTACAAGTCCCTTTCTCTTGCCCACTATATAGAGAGGACTTTGTGCTCACTTTTTTTTTCAGGGAAGTTGTAGAATCTTCTCCTTGGATATCTTTCCAAAGCCTCTTGGACGTTGTCCTGAGCTACCTGTTCTGGGTGCCCCTACTGGAGCAGATTGCTCCAGAGGTCTCTGCCAACCTCAGCCATCCTGGAGTTCTATGATTCTGTACATACAGCTGGGACGCAAATACAACTGCAAATAATTCAGGGCCCTTATGCCTATGTATGTTCTCAAGGCCTTCTGCTTTTTCTCCGAGAAGAAAATTTTCAATTTGTTTAGGAAGCCCCTGAGAAAGAATGCGGTCTGTATGAAAGCAGGATTCTGGAGTTACGCGGTGTAGACTGTTAGCCAACACAAGGCACAGGCGAGTGTTGGCAGCTGTTCCATTTAGTGCACTGGCACACCAGCATGTTGATACCTGTCTGAAAGCCATTTGCAGAGGGAAGCAGCTCTTTCTACATGTTACAGTCTATGGGAGCCCATCCATCCTGTGCTTCCTCTCATGCCAGAAAGCTTTTATGTCCTGCTCTTTAAATGCAAGAGTAACTGAAATATCTATTTCAAAGATGAAATATCATTTTTGATGCTGTACATTTTTTTATTTCAACAAGGTTAGCCTTTACAAATTTGACCATGCTAAAGTGGAATGCTGGAATACAAAGAACCTGCCTTTTCCAATTACTGTGTACATTCTTTCTATTTTCAGGAAACCATTCTGATTCCCTGTCTCCTGAAAGATTTACTGTAAAGTTTTGTTGCTTATTATAACAATTTTCCAACTGAAATTGGCCACTCATTGTAAGAATTCAGCTTGTCATACCTGTGATCTTCGTCCCTAGTATGACAGACCTCACAGAAATTAACTTGTAGTGGCTTTTTCTTGGATTATATATCCCCCTGAAATGTGACCTACAGGGATGCCCAAGTGACAATGAACTTGTCATGCTTGACCAGTGAGTCTTCTTAGCTTAAGCTTTTCTGTGCACCAGTTCAAAGACAGAAGCAGTGATGATGGTCCCAAGATGAATAGGTAGGATGAAGAGAATGTGACACACGAGGGTGAAGTGACGTAACAGTATGACAAGGTAGAAAATAAGACTGTGGGTCAGGAACAAAATGATGAGCTATAGACAAGGGAAAGTATTAGACCATGGTAGTAGACCACTGCATCTCCTCAAAATGCTTTTGTCTTTGTCTGGTCTATAACAGTAGTAAATTCTTTATAATAGCAGATTCCTTTCCTTTTGCCATTATACAGGAAGTTGTGATAGAAGAGAGTCTCCTAGTTTTTCCAATTTTCTTACTGTTTTGAAGGCTTTGATGAAAACTGATGAAACCTCAGTGAAACTTTATTTAAGGAAGACATAGTGTTGAATAAAGAAATAAATAATAACTTCCAGATTGTGACCACACTGCATAAGCTATCAAAGGACTACTGAGATAGAGGCAAGAGCAAGACTGCTTACAAGTTTTTGTCCTCAGGAAGCTACTTTCTTGCAGAACTTCAGCTAATATAAATTGGGAGTACAGTAAATTTACACCTAATTAATTATGGAAATTGAATCTCTTATCCTTTGATTCTCAAGACTGTGCCCATTTATGGGTATTAATTAATGTTTGGTTAAAAGTTTTGCTGATATGGCATTTCTTAAAGAACAGAAGTTTGAACTCTTTCTTCATCTAATGTATTTTCTTTCAATGTGTTTTTATCCACAGTCACTTATTTATGAAAGAAATATTTCTCTACAGCTTTGGTTACACATTTTCAGGGATCTGAAATAATCTTTTGCTAACACAAGAGGGAAGAAGAAAAATATGCAAGACATTGTTACAAAAAAAAAAAAATTTAATGTTTAACTAAACATAAAAATAATTTAACATTAAACTGAACATCAAAGTTCAGGTTTTATATCATGTACACAAGTTACATGCACTAGCGACAGTCTATCAATTGCACTGTGTGTACTTCTTTACTGGAAAATAACTTGATCTCATTTATCAATGAGATTTCATTTCAGGGGAGCAGCTAGCCTCTGGTTTTGATCATCTACTTGCATAGCTCCATGCTCATATCATCTAAGGAACAGCTGCATTTTAAATTCTTACTCCCTTTGGGCTGTACCAACATTTGTGCATTTTGACTCTTAATTATCTGAAAGAAAAAGGAGGGGAAAAAAAAACAAACAACCCTAGATCTGGCACAAAAATCACAAGCTGATTTTAAACAAACTCTGCTGCCAGAATAGTTGATCTGGGGACTTAAATGCTGAAATTCTGTGTGCTGCTGTCTCAATGGGCTATTCAAGCAGCTGTGGTCACGGAAGTGGTTCCTGCCAACATCTCATGTAGCCATAGGGAGCAGAAACGTGACGGGGAAAATGGCTTCTTCTTTCTTTTCACACCATCAGAAAATGTGTGTCAGTGGTAAGAAACTGGGAGTACTTACTGGGAATTTTAAGGGAGATCCTTGATTGATGGATTGGATATTCAAAATTCCCCCAATTGACTAAGATGATATTTTTCATTCTTCAAGGGACAAAGTGAAAAGGAAAAGAGTCACCCATGTGTGAAGAGAAGGTCAGCATAAGGTGTGATGATCAGTCAAGTTTGAACACTTATAGAATAAACTAATAGTTAACTTTATTCCAGTGTTCCTTCACTGCTTCTGTGGTTAGAGAAGTGCTTCTGGGATGAAAAAAAGCACTTGATTTTTAAAGACAGTTTGATATCTTTTAATCTTTAATCCACATCAGACCTCATTAGTTACTTGATCAACCAGGAGACTGAGTTGCACCAAAAAAAGTGGTAAACGCCATTATATATTATTCAGAGCTTCTAAAACAGCCATACTTTACAAAGGAAAAGATGCATCTCAGGGAGCCATCAATCCACATTTTAACAACATACATTTGGGATCAAATGTTTTCATCCAGCATTGTGCAGACAAGTTTTGTTCAACACAAAAAAAACTTCGCTTTTTTTTTTTTAGCTCTTAGGATTTTGAGGAATTTTTCTTTGGAAGCTCTTTGGAGTGGGTGGATGGAGGGAGAGGAAGGAGAAATGCATTTCTCTTGAGATAGGAACCAAAAAAGTCATTGTTCTAAGCAAGCATTGGTAGGAGTAAGCCTGACCCAAGCATAGGTGTAGTCAAGAGGCATCTCTGCATTTGAGGCTGCTATATTTTCTTTTGCTGTCCTTCGCCATCTCAGCCCCAAGCAGTGATGTGTACACAGGGTTGATTTATCTGTGTGACCACACAACTGCATTGTTTTTCTCAGTTCCTGTTGCACTTGGATCTTGCCTTGCAAGTGCTGATGTTGGACTCCCTTGTATGAAAATGTTTTAGGAACAGGGTGTTTAAAACACAATCCCTATGCATGCGAGTGGCTTTCACCCAAAATTCAAGATGCTTTTATTCTCTGTAGCCATAATTTAATCTCTTGAAACAGCATGTTTCCAGGGGAAGAGTGTCTCTTTCTTCCCTAAAATCAGGTTAGCAACAGAATGTAGATTTACAGTTTAAGATAAATAACAAAAGTGAAGTCAGGGTTCAATTTTAGGAATGTGAAATAAATAAAGGAAATTGAGGACTGATAACCAAGGACAGTGACCTCTCATTCACCTATTAAAAAGGTACACAACAGTGTATGAGTGTAAGCATGAAAGGTAGAATTATCCACTTCTATGTGGTTCCTGTCCTTTGTACCATTTGTGCCTTGTACGCTAATTATCTTACTCATTTCTCTGATGCTACATGCTTTATAAAAGATGTTGTCTCCTCTTGTTTTCAGGTATTACTGTTTGAAGATGCCAACATCCTGGCAAATATGCTGCAAGAAAAAATCCAAACCTAAGAATGGAAATGCTGAAATGGATGATATGGCAGATACAAGTGAAAAAATGCAGATGAAAAAAGAAATTACATTATTAAATGGAGTTTCTTTAATTGTAGGAAATATGATTGGTTCTGGGATATTTGTGTCTCCCAGAGGTGTTTTAATGTACAGTACTTCCTACGGACTCTCTCTTATCATCTGGGCTCTTGGCGGAATGTTTTCACTGTTTGGAGCTTTATGTTATGCTGAGTTGGGAACATCCATTGTCAAATCTGGAGCTAGTTATGCCTACATCCTGGAAGCGTTTGGTGCCTTTGTGGCCTTCATTAGACTGTGGTCTTCTTTGCTAATTATTGAACCAACAACTCAGGCAGTGATAGCAATCACATTTGCTAACTATATTGTTCAGCCAATTTTTCCTCATTGTGAGCCACCGTACGATGCAGTCAGATTGATTGCAGCTGCTTGTATTTGTAAGTAAAATTCTGATTATTAGAAATCAATAACTATGATTGTAGGTGCCCAGACAAGTTTTTCAGAGTTTTTATTCCTTCACCTGCTGTGAAAATACTTATTTCCTCCCTTATATGAATTCCTAAGAATGTATTCACTTTTGTTCAGATGTATTTTATTTAAGGCTGAGATTATTAGAGGGGAAAGGATAATTCCATCAGTTTGAGGGAAACTATGACTGCTGAATTAAAGTATCTTTGTGAATCTTGGGTCCAGTTTGCTGTTGACATTTGGCCTTTGTCCTCTTCCCTGTTTCTTGCAAATATTGTAGAACGACTAAAGAGCAGAAAGCTTATATGAAATTAAAATTACAGTGACCAGTGATAGGACTCAAGGGAAAGGCATGGAGTTATGTCAGGGAGCGTCAGGTTGGATATTAGGAAAATGTTAATCACTGAAAGGGTGGTTGGACCCTGGAACAGGCTTGCCAGGGCAGTGGTCACAGCCCCAAGCTGTCAGAGTTCAAGAAGTATTTGGACAACGCTCTTAGACACAGAGTTTCATTTTGGGTGATCCTTTGTGGAGCCCAGGGATGGATCCCTTACTGCTGAGGATGTTCTGTGATTCTTTCATTCTAATATGACTTTTGTCCCTAGAAAAATTGAGTAGTAATCACATATTCCTCGGAGTTGACTTTATTGAACACAGGGATAAACATTATAACTCTATCCTCCAGTTAATGAACTTCACTTAAACATTTTTTCCATAAAATTTTGTCAAGATGGGTGATGTTCCTTTCAGGCTATGCTATAGTGTGATCTTTTAGAAACAAATTGTATAACTTAACAAAATCTTCCAGAAGGATGAGTATTTTTAAGTTATTGTAATATACACTGACAATTCTGAAAAGCTGTTCCCTCTGTAGCTCTGATTCCCACCAGCATGCTACAGAGGAAATTCAGTTCTGAAGAGGGCTCAGTGATGTAACTTGATGCCATTACGACCACTCCAACCAGTGATCCAGTCAAAAAAAGCTAACCCGATTCCAAAAGGCTTTATCAGCTGAAAGCTTCCATTTGCACAGAGAAGCAGTTATTTAATTAGAGCAAAATTAATTTCCCTAGTTTTCTAGATGCATTTCATGAAGACCTAACGCTTGGGAGAAGCAATCTTCAAATACTGATTTTTTCATTGAGACTTTGTTTTTTTAGTTATTCTTGCTGTACTCCTTATGTGAATCATCTGTGGTGTGCTCCGGTACCTCTGACTTCTATGAGCTGATGCACAAGGTGTGGCTGGTAGCTGCTGCTTTGTCATACAGAAAATTAGCTGCTTCTGACCAGGCTTATAACCAATCTTTAAGTACCAGCTCAGATTGCTGGGAAAATTACAGTTTACTATGATAACTGTAGTAAGCAACTACTGATATGTAGTAAGCAATTTGGCAGTCAGATAGCAAGCTTATTACTAGCTTGAAAAATTTGACAAGGTTAAGGAGCAATGGATTTAATTGATGCTTCACCAACACAGTGCAGAGAACGTATCCACATATTTAATAGTATTTACCAGGAATCCAATGCTGAAGCCTTTAACTACATATAATGCATCTCATTTTCTGTACATGTGCAATAATCATATCCTTTGCACTATTTCAAATAGCCCTTTATAGCATTGCAAGTAACTCATAAATGTTCAGTATTGAAAACTTTAGTCAGTACTTGTATCATTTTTAAGAAATACTGCTGGAATTCTACCACTTACTGATACATACTACTGAACTGTTTTTTCATACCAGAACAAAACCAAAGTCCTGACCTTATTGCACAATATTGGCATATTAACAGTGGGGACAAATCAGGTTCTCATTCCGTAAATAGTTAGGTGTGTCATAACTTTCACAGCTGGCAGGGCACCCAGACAAATATGCAGAGCTGCTCGTGACAAAGAAGACAAAAGTCCTGTGAGTGTCTGCAGTTGGATGCTAATTTCCTCACTAGATGGTTTTCATTTTAAGCAGTTATGAAATCATTTTTCCTTTTTGGAACTGTAGTGCAAATGATAGCTAGGTCAGAGAAACAGAAGACTGCCGGAGAAGAAATAGCCCACACTGTTCAGTGCTTGAGGCAACTAACTGCCCATGCTGCATTTAGTTGCTGTTATCCAGCAGCTGGACATCATACCTGATGCCAAATGCATTTCTCTGTGAATTAAGGAGCTGCCAGGGAGATGAGCTGCCCTCAGTGCTTTTCATGTGCTCAAAGAGCAGGAGGCATGCTTGCTGAGCATGCAGCATTACAGGTACCAGTGCTCCTCACAGCCTCTAAGCTCATCAGGTTTAACTTGTGCGACAAAGCTGAATGCAAAAAACATGGCAGGAGGGAAAGAGAATGAGTTGACACCACTCAATCTCTGCACTCATTCTCTGCAACCAGCTACTTTGTTGTTTCCATTAGCCTCTGTCAAAATCAATGCTTGAGAGAACTCTAAGTACTTCTGTAACCTTCAGATCTGAGTTCAGAGCATGAATGGCACAGCTCCCATCTGTGGGCACAGCAACAGCATTCTGAGCTGTCTCAAATCAGGATACTACAAAGAGCATCCAAACTCCTTGGTGCAGGAGCTGTTCTTACTCTGTATATAGGCAAGGACTTCAGTTGGTGTGGAGAATTCAGTACAAACAAAGAATATAAAGAAATTATATTTTCTGCATGTGCACAACTTGCAAGTGACACTGTTGACTCTAAGGAAATTTATAGCTTTAAATATTATTTTAAAAGAGCAGGAGTCACCCTAGAATTCAAAATCTGGTGTTTTCTTCATGCCTTCATTGTTGTGTAATATGCATCACAGTATCCTCCAGAGTAAATCAGGTATTTAACTCATCTGATTATATCTAGGTGGTCCTGAAATACTGAAAATTGATTCTGTTGTATTGCTTTGCAGAGGGGTGGTATCTCGAAGAATATATTTGAAATATGTGATGTCAAACATACAGTGGTCTTCCCGTGCATGTCATTTTTCTCTTCAGGTTCCTTAACGTTTGTTAATTGTGTTAATGTGAAATGGGGAACTCGTGTGCAAGATATTTTCACATACGCAAAACTTATGGCCCTTGTTGTGGTGATATCTGTTGGCCTTTACAAAATTGGTAAAGGTAAGAATATTTTCTACTTACTTGCATTCTTAAAAATGAAGTGCATATTCATTTCAAATTCCATGCAGGAAGATTGGACTCCATTAGACTTGCATGTGAAGTATTATTTCTTCTGAAAAAGTTATCTGTCACAGGAAGATTAGGGGAATTTTATGACTTATTAAGCACTGGTTGTTTAATTATTCTTTCGTTCTTTCTGCAGCAGACCAACACACGCCAAGTTCTACATTGCTTAGGCTGTATAGGAGATAGCAGTTGAATTCATAGAATCCTAGAATCATAGAATGGCCTGGGTTGAAAAAGAGAGGGAATGACTGTTAACATCAGTTTGATGATAGCTAGATTATAGTTAGTCCCAGTGTCTCTGGCACATGCTAGTAAAAATTAATAGCATGTTGGTGCAATTAACAGCATGAAGAAGCAAGGTGTTTCACCTTCTCCTGGGACTGAACAGCATAGCAGAAATCCAGGGAAGAAGGAACTTGCTCTTCAACTGTGTGAAAGAGATGCTGGCAGTGGTGATATGGCTTGCTAATTGCTAGAAACAGGAGACAGTACTGTAACACTGCACTCCTGTGATTCACTGTGGTATGGTAAGGCATCACAGGATGGATGAGCCATATTTTATCAACAGTAACCAGACTGAACTGTATATACCCAAAAGCTAGATACTAATTTCCTCCTGGGTTGCTTTTCCAACTCTAGCTCTGTCACTTAGTAATTAAGGTTTCTTTTCTTTTTCATTTGCCATTAAGTCCCTAAATAGCCATTGTGACTTTATTCAGTAAAAGTAAAGACGATTTTCTCTCTTTAGTTCAGAAACTATCTTTTTTTTTTCTGTAGAAACTAATTTGTAAAACCAAATGTGAGAGCTTGCTTTCCCACGTTTTCTGGTGTTCACCTTTCCTTGGCTCCAGCTGTTATTATACCATAAAGTCTTTAGGGAAGCTTTTTTTGTTTAACCATATCAGTGTATGTCATTTGTCACTGATTTGATCAAATTTAAACGAAACTGAACAAATGAACACAGTCCTAAGGTTGGTTTGTTTACACTGTTACCTGGGTCAGGAGGACAAAGGCAAAGAGGAAGCCTTGCAGTGAATACAAAATGCTGAGGATTTTTACTGGTGGCAAAGGACTCATCTCTAATTTGTCTGAATAGAACCAAATGTTTAAATTCAGAAAGGGCTGGGAGAAAGAATGATTGAGACATCTGGAGAATTGTGATCAGGTCAGTGAGCTCTTTTAAACTCACCAGCCCTTTCAGTGGAAAGAACAGCTGTCATATTTTAGCCCTGCCATACTTCTGATGTGCTGAAATACGCTGCTTCTTTTAAAACGCTCTGGATATATCTGATTTTGAGTAGATGCTCTCTAGTTAGAAAGCTTTTCTTGGTCCTATTGGATATTTTCCTTGTTTTTTATTCTTTTCAACAATTTTCTTCATCTATGTCCTCTAAGAATGAGTTGATCTTGCTGCTTCACCTTCCCAAATTCTATCAGTCTATGAAGAAAATGATTTCTTTATGAATGTGAAAGACTGGTATTTACTGTTCTTAAAAGATTGAATTTCTTTTGTGGCAGCATTGTATTTCTTAGTCTAACCACAAGATGAAGTTGCTTGATTTGATAGCAAACACTTTACTTTCTTCCCTAATAGAGGCTTCAGTGTGTTTCTGTTTTCCTTAATACCTAAACCCACTTCCATTTATGTTAGATAGTTCGTTTTCCTTCTGCAAATTCAAGCAGGCCTTTCTTCCTCTTTTCAGGGCTGCAGAGAAGGCCTACACTGTTTCATGAGCAGTTCTTCTATTTTGCAGTTTTCTGCAGTTTCTTGTCTCAACTGATTGAGCTAAACTAGAGAATTAGAAAGGGAATATTATCTGTGTCTTCTCTTAATTTGGGTGAACAACTGTCCCACTGAGATGGGGTCTTGAGAAATTCTCACTCCATTGGCCACCAGTCCATTTGGTGACAATATGGATAGGAGAGGATGGAATATGAGACAGATTCAGGAATTGAAATTGGGTTTCTCAACTGTGTCTCCCTGGCTCATAGCCCTCAGCACTTCTTGGTAGGCTAGGGATTGGTGCCAGGGAATGAGGAAGCTGTGAGGACTGGTGGGATTTCCCAAGTGATGTCCAAATAGCAAACACGGGAAAATGTGTTGTCAGTGTAACTGTCTGAATGATAGCTGATTGAAACTCTCTTATTTGTCAAGTGAAATTTTAACTTTTAAGAATAGTGATGAAACCTGGATTAAATCGTTTTTATTTTGAGGGGGACAGATGAGACATTTCATGTCGGTTGGATGGTTGGACTAGATGATCTTACAGGTCGTTTCCAACCTTGTGATTCTATGATTCAATTATTCTGATTCTATGTAGTGCCCTATGTCTTAATTGTTGACATGTAACAGGTAATTTTACCTGCTGTTCGTACAGGAGAAACAGAAAATCTCAGAGCTCCCTTTGAGGGCTCAGCAACAGACCCGGGAATGATTGCACTGGCTCTGTACTCAGCCCTCTTTTCCTATGCGGGGTGGGACACCCTGAATTACGTCACCGAGGAGATGAAGAACCCTGAGAGGTAAATGCACATTCTGCATTCAAAGCACTGGAAAGTGTCCTGGTACGGCAGGACAAGGTGCTTGGTGATTAGAAACTAGTCTAACCATTTTCTCTACAAAAACACTTATTTCCAAAAGAACTAGTAAGTAAGAACTCCTCTCTCACCAATTGTATCACATTAATAATTTTCCTCCAGATATGTGTTTTATACCTTACACTTTGGACCAGACTTTTTAAAAGGAGAAGAACAAATCCCTGCTGAAAGTGTGAGTCCACCTAAGCTTTCTAAAATTCCCTACTTCTTCTCAGTCAGACAAAACAATTATTTTATTTTCCATGACAGCTTTTGAATCCAAGAGTGAGAATGTCAAGTTTATGACTGTTTTATTTTGTGGTCTTCGGTGTTACTGCTTATGGGCAAAATGTTTCATTTTGCTGAAGGCAAAAAGTTAAATGAGAAATAAAGTCCACAGTAGTGCTGGATGTTCTATCCCCTCCTCTTCGTAGGGATGTCCACCCTGTGGGAGTGTTGTGCTTCACCTGCTCAGATGATACAAGCCCACCTTGTCTTGGGACACGCACAGTTTATCAGTCAGGAAAAATGCTACAGTCAAGAAAACACCTAAGCATGCATTAAGTCATAATTATAAGTCATTTAAGTGCTCTCTTATACTGCTTTATATAAAAGGCAATTTTTAAAGTGTTCAGGTACAAATGTACAATTTTGCCCTACAACATGTGACACAAAGCCACAAGAAGCCAACTAAGCTTCTTATGGAATTGTTTCACATGTGGCTGAACTTTATTTTGTAACCCTGTGATTACCAAATGTTGGATTACAAAAAGTGACGGATGTATCCATTTGCAAGTGTTTGAATTTAGGGACAGTATTTAATCTGCAGAACATGAAATAATTTTGTCATTTTCCTTTTTCAGGAATTTACCTCTTTCTATTGCAATTTCCATGCCTATTGTGACTATTATTTACTTGCTGACTAATATAGCATACTACGTAGTGCTGGATATGTCAGCACTTCTCACAAGTGATGCAGTGGCTGTGGTAAGTTACATAAAATAACAAAATCAAAAGTTACTGCATGGAAGTAGTTTCTAAATTCTTCTACAGTGGAAGAATCTCAGGGAGCATACTTATTGGCAAAACAATAGAAATATTTCTATGCTGAAGATGTTTGCTTTGTTTTAAACCTTGTTTTGGTGTAAGAGTACCACTATGTTAGAAGGTGCATTTAAAGTTCATACCCAGTAATTCTGCTCTTGTAAAATCTCTTATATACTCTGTAAATCCTTCACCTCACAGTACTTCACTGTAGAAGATGCTTTCATTAGAGCCAGACAGAGAAACAGCTATGGAAAATCTGGGATTTAAGAACTGCGTGGTTTTTTATTCTGCCTTTTAAATGCAGAGTAGGTGATTTTTAGTACTGTAGAACTGAAGCAGTATTTTCAACACAAAAATATGCCATGACATGCTTTTTTAAAACTCTATCAACGTGTTCTACAAAAATACAATCATAAATAACAGACTAATACAATCAGGATTTGTTAGAATGCCTTATTAAAAATAAATTTTCATCTATTATTTCATTGATTTTATTTCAGCTTAATTTTTTAATTAATCTTTTTTCATGCATCTGTCATTTTTATGGGTTTTTTTGTTTGTTAGTTTTTTGTTTTTTTTCAAACCAATTACTGGTTTCCCAAGTCATTACCAGTGTCAGAGGAAAGCAGTGGCTGTGGCACTAAAATTCAGCTGGGGTGTTCTCATGAGGGTTTCCCAGAATTGTCCATATGTTTAATGTTATGGCCTCACTATTGTTTTCTTTCTTGCATTACAGACGTTTGGGACTGAAACGCTTAGTTATGCTAAGTGGATAATTCCTATAGCTGTGGCCATGTCTTGCTACAGTGGGTTAAACTCATCAATAATTGCAGCATCTAGGTATGAAATATATGATTTATTTGAAGTAATAAAAAAGTAAAAATTTGTCATTAATCTGCATTCTTCACTACACACTGTAAAAGGGACACTATTAATTTCTGCATGCTAAATTGTTCATTTATGCTGGAAGGACAGTTATGATATAAACTACAGGCACTGGAGAGCAGAGCAGCATTTACAGTACACTGATAAACGAATTCTGTATTTGTCAGAAAGCAATGAGACATTCCTTGGCTAACTGGTTGTTAGAAAGCACATTTTTGTTTGTTTGTTTTTTAGGCTTTTCTATGTTGGAGCCAGAGAAGGACACCTCCCTGACAGTCTGAGCTTGATTCATATGAAGTGTTTCACACCAGTCCCTGCTCTTCTCTTTAATGTAAGTGAAAGCCCAGCATTATGCTTGGCATGATTAGCTGGGGATACAGACATAGGGAGTATTAAATCTCCCTACTGTATGCTGCTCCCCAGCCTTCCTGCACTGAGGACGTCTTCCTCAAATGGCCAGGATTTCTAAAACTCATTTCATCTGGTGGTTTTTCTTCAGTGGAAGAAGAATGGCCTGATTCTGCTATGTGCTCTCTGACTGTAAAAGTAGTCAGAATGAGAAACAGAAGCTTAGAAAATGGCTCACTGCATAAAATGTAGACAGGAATTAAATCTTTGTATGTGTTTTCAGTGTCCACTGGAGAATATGACAGGAAGAGCTCTCCGACCCTCCTGTGGGCTAGTTTTCCAGGCTCTAGTTATAACAAAAGTGTTAAAGCATTTAAATTTAAATTCATAATGTTGGATGCCTATACTTGTTATTACTATCTTCTGCTCTCACAATACAAATAAATCCTGTGACACAAAAGCAAGGAAGCATAGCATACAGTCTTCATGCAAATGATTTTAATAAATAATCCATAAATCTAATAGATTAGAATAAAGAAGAGGATACACACAAGCAAAGAAAGTGGAAAGAAGGAGATGACTGCCCCCTCTACTCAGCTCTTGTGAGGCCCCATCTGGAGTACTGTGTCCAGGCCTGGGGCACCCAGCACAGCAAGGATGTGGAGCTCTTGGAATGGGTCCAGTGGAGGATCACTAAGATGATCAGAGGGCTGGAGCACCTCTCCTATGCGGAAAAGTTGAAGGAACTGGGATTGTTTAGCTTGGAAAAGAGAAGGCTCCAGGGAGACCTCATTGTGGCCTTCCAATATTTGACAGGTGCATATAAAGAGGAGGGGGAGCAGCTGCTTATGAGGGTGGATAGTGATAGGACAAGGGGGAATGGTTTTAAACTGAGATTAGGGAGGTTTAGGTTGGATATTAGGAGGAAGTTTTTCACTCAGAGGGTGGTGACACACTGGAACAGGTTGCCCAAGGAGGTTGTGGATGCCCCATCCCTGGAGGCAGTCAAGGTCAGGCTGGATGTGGCTCTGGGCAGCCTGTCCTGGTGGTTGGCGACCCTGCACATAGCAGGGGGTTGAAACTCGAGGATCATTGTGGTCCTTTTCAACCCAGGCCAGTCTATGATTCTATGAATTATTCAAAAGTATTTCTTTTTTTTTTTTTTTTATTTGAACTTGTGTTTTATTTGGTATCCTGCCTTGCTATGTGTTACATAAGGGGTATGAGCAGAGTACCACACCAGTCCTGTTGGAAATCAGATAATGTACTGGTAAATATTGTCTCAGTATGGATAGTCCCTTAATACAACACTGTCTCCTTTTTCCTGGTGATTTTTTTCTGCTGATCAAAAGAAGACTGCATACTTCTGTTTTTCATGTTTGTTAAAGCAGTCATTAAATTCCTGGTATTTTAGATCTCATTTTACCCTTTCCATGCAGAGTATACAGCACACTTGTGTAACACAGAATTTAATGTTCTCAATGAGTGGATTGTGAGCACCTCCAAAAGAGAAACAAAATTAAAAGCAAGGTTTCAAACTGAAACTGATCAGAGCAGTTGGCCATCCAAGGTTGGGCTGTTCATCTTAGGAGGGTTTTCTGTGATGCTGAAATGCAGCTTCACAAAGGCAGGACCTCTTCAGCCGGGCCTGGAGCTGTCACTGCTACATTTGAGGAAGAGATACCAGCAGATTTCACACAGTGCCTTTGTGGATTTCTTAGTTTTAATTATATCCTTCCTGCAAGGACCTGATTTCCAGCCAAATATGTTTGAAACAGGCATTTTTATAACTTTAATACCTGTTTTCTTCTTAATACAATGTTTATTTATTTTCCCATTAAAATGCCTTTCTTTTTTATCTCTAGGGTTTAATGACTTTGCTTTATCTCCTTGTGGAAGATGTTTTCCTCCTCATTAATTACTACTGCTTCAACTACTGGCTCTTCGTGGGCCTGTCTATTGCAGGACTAATATATTTGAGATATACTCAGCCACGTAGACCACGTCCTATTAAAGTAAGTGAGAGGAAATAAGCTGTAACAGCCAGCTCGTATACAGGTTTATGTTACACATAATCCCAAAATCATAACATTACGAGTTGTGCTACAAGCTATTCATTTCAGCCATAGGAATCTTGTTAGCACAGAAGGTAAGAAATGAAGAAGTAAAACCTATTTCAGCTTCCACAAGAACAAGTACTCTTGCTGTGTGCTTGAAATGATACTTCCAATTTCCTTTTCCTTTCATTAAAATTTAAGTTTCTCTTTTTTTTTTTTTTTTTTTCTTTCCCCTGAATAAATAAATCACTGAGGTTCACAGTCAGTTCTTAGTCCTTTTAGTTTTGTTCACAGAGGACTGCAATATGTGATGGGACTCCAGGGAGATTCACGCTGGTCAAACTTAGCATAAGAAATTCATCAAAAATCTCTCCAAAGACAATAAATGCTCAAAATTCTGCTCATGTAGAAGTTCAAAAGCTTGAATAACAAAATACAGACATTCTGCCTTCCTCATGCACAGTGGTCATGTGCAGTGAAATGCGTGCTTAAAACTGACAGTAGAAGGGCATCTGGCTATAGCAAGGTGAAGGAAACAGCAGAGAAATGAGGCACATGTATGGTTCATTTTCTAGCTTTAATCCAGTGACTGTCCAGGATGCAGGAATGGATGCCCAGAGCTTCCCTCAGGCACAGAAAACTACACACTCTTCACTGTGGTCCCTTGACTCTATGATCTGTGTCCAAGCTCTGCAGAGATGCAGCAAAATTATGAGAAATCCAAATTAGCATCATATCTTTTGATGCTTTTCTAAACATTTCTTCCTTGTTACCCTACATTCCTGCACCATCTTTACCAGCAATTTTTTTTTTCCTGTTTAATTGTAACATCCTATATAAGTATAAATATAAAAGCTAAAATATGCTCAGCACCTACTGCTAGGAAAGCTTACACAAATCAAATATTCCTGAAGCATTCTCACACTTCATTTTCAAACTTTTGTACAAGATATAAGAAGATGAAGGTAAAATTTTGAATTATGGAGAGTTTTGGTATTGACTTTTCTAAAGCAAGTTAGATAATAGATAATAACTACTTAATTCCTAGCAGCATTTGCCAGCTTAATCAGTATCTCAAGTTTGCATACACTTTTTTTTAATTATAGCTATTGGTTTTCATCAATTTATTGTTATAACTTTTTATAAGTAAAAGAAATATTTATGCCAGTAAAAACTCCAGTGCTCAAATGCCATCTCCTGAATTCTTTAGAAGTCTCATGACTACAGCCAGTGAAAAGTATTCTAGTAAAAAATAAATCCATACATAAATTATTGCAACTTCCATTAGCTTGATATATACTTGCTAAGTGCCCTGGCAAAATGGTTGCAAATCATCCATTTAGTTTTGTAGAATCGGGGTGGTAATTGAAAGTCTAGCTGAGATGGATCCCCATCAAAGCTGCAATTAAAACTTCGCAATTGAAGTTACAAGGAAAAGTACCCATTACTGTTCAATTTTAAAGCAGTACTTTCAAAGATTGGTCTCTTACTAATGTGGAAAGGAACTGAGCTTGTACAGGTCTAAAAACTACAAAATGGTCATCAGATTGTAACAAATGTACCAAAGAGGCTCTCAGCAGCATAAACTGAAGTTACCTACCATAAGCATACTGCCTGTAGCCATTCAAAAGATAATACACAGTACTTACTAGTCATATAGTCAATAATTATGTTTTTATTATTGACCTGTCTCATTTTAATCTACAAAGTTTGACATTTTTTCCAATGGAATATTTACTGCTTCTTTTAATAAATGTTTGGTTTTTTCTCCACAGCTTAATCTCTTCTTCCCTATCATATACTGTTTATGTTCCCTTTTCCTGGTCATAGTTCCTCTCTACAGTGACACAATCAATTCCCTTATTGGCATTGGTATTGCCCTCTCAGGCATTCCTGCATATTATGTAGGAGTCTATCTGCCAGTTGAAAAAAGACCTAAATGGCTACAATGGCTCTCTGGTAAGTAATATACTATCTTTTCATAGTCATAATGCAGGTGTTTTGAATCCTTGATCAGAAGTATGATTTTTCCTACATTCTTTCTTTCCCCTATGACAACAAAGACACACATACCTGTTCGAGACAGTCCAATACATGGATGTAATATGGTCATCCAATATCTGTGGTATTAAGCCATTTCAAAATATTGGCTTATTAAAGACTCTGCAGGATTGTGAAGAATAAATGCATGCAGTTTAGTATCTTGGAAGGAAAAAATACCAGAAGACCACTGCTTCACTTCCTGATTGGGAAGTGGGATATCAGAGTCAGAGGAGCCCATATGTTTTCCTAAATTATGAAGTAATGAATGATTGGCCTGAAGGCTAGTTTCTACTTCTCAAGTTCAGGCAATCTTGAAAATCAAAAGTTTAATATTTTATTCATTTTGACATCAGATGTCAATCTGACAATTAAATGAAAATGTTGATTAAGAGAGACTTTTAATTACTGATTTCTTTTTCCCTCTATTCATTATATTCTCCTAATATCTGCATAGTGCTTTCAAATGCCCCAAAAGTCCGTACATTTGTCAAAGATGTAATTTTGTCTCAGCTACGCATTTTTGCTCTGTATTGCAGTCACAACAACCAAACACATTCAGCTGCTCTTCTACTGTGCTCTGTCAGACCTGGACATAGACATGGAACCTACAAAAGCTAAAAGCAAATAGGATTGCCTTGACATTGGGAATTGCACTTGACACATCTGTCTGGAACAATTTTTATTGAAGTTCTCTCCATATCCTCAGATACATAAAAGCATCAGCCACTGTATTCTGCACCAATTTGATGTCTGATAATTTCTGCTTGTTTCATAAACCACTTGCCAGCCTTTGTTTTACAGGATTTTTTTTAACTGTTTGTTAACGGTTATCGAACAGCACTTTGAAACTATAAAGCATGGTATGAACAAATACTTATCAGTAGGTAATTATTAGGTTCATTGCAAAAGCTTAATAAAAAAAAAAAATTAATTCCATCAGAATCCTAAGAAATAAATTGATTAATGTAACAAAAATCAGATCAGATATCTGCAAGATTCGAAACCTGAGCTGGGAAGCAGAAGCCACAGTGTACTTCTAAAAATATTCCTAAATTCTTAGCCAAATAAAAAATAGATAGTCTGTACTGGATAGGATACAGTTGGCAATTGGTTTTGATCAATTATATTTTGTGAGAAATTCTTATTTGGTTATAGGCCACATTCATTACCCTTTTGTAGAAGAAGTATCTTCAACAAACAAATAACACTCTTTTAACTGACTTATTTTTGCTTTTTGGCAGAGCATCTCACTGTGGAGCACTGTAAGGGACTGAGACATGCTTCAATTCACTATATTCAGAGAAAACACATTTCCATAGCATCCACTGCTTGCCTTTCAGTATCAAAAGCGTGGCCCAATGAATCGTACTAATTTTTTTGCACAGTAGAACTTATTTAAGGATTTTTTAAGGAAAAATTTAAAAAATCTTGATTAAAAATCCTGTGAGCCACTGCCCAACCCTGCAGGCTGGTCTTTGACAGAATGGTTGAGGTTGGAAGGGACCTCTGGAGGACGTCTGGTCCAAACACAGCAATCTGCAGCCCTGCTTTTCAGCAGAGAGCCTCCTGCATTGGCTGCCAGGCCTTCACATCTTGCAGGTGCCCACTGCAGCACTAGACAAGTGCACCCACCAGTGATTGAATAAATGGGCAGTGAAGAACATGACATTTTTCAGTGTGGCACACAGTAATGTGTAACCAGTCCTAATTCTTAGCTGCTTCAAGTGGAAAAGACAATAATTGTCATAGGAAAGAAAAAAACAATCAACATTACCAACCAGATTATGAAAACAGTTCCATTTCTAATCTGCTTCATAAATATGTAGCACTTTTTGTTATCCTTCTTGTCAATTCATGCTTCCTTTCTGTAATTATATTTGAATGCAGCACATAATTTTTAATTCAAATTCCACTCAAGTAACCCCAAGTAAGTTATTTTTTTTTAAATCTTATTAGGTCCCTGTGGCTTCTACTATTATTGTCTTTTATTTGTGTCTATCCAGACAAAGAGAAATGGAATAGGAAAGAAGGCAGTTGTTGCCACTGTGACCTTTTTTTCATTCCCTCCCTACAGTGTAAGGTCATTTACAATATGATAAGCTCACGTACCTCTAGCCTAATGCTTGCTGGCACTTCTTCTGTGAAGCTTTCTCTTCACATTCCAATACCATCCATTGCAGAACTTGTGAGATTTTCTTTTGATGTAAAGTGTAAGTGATAAAAATGCAATAAACTAAGGTATGGTACTTAGATATTTCGTACCTAAGGTACTAATATACTAGAAATGTATATTTTGCTTTTCAGAAGCTGTGACTTTCATGCACTAAAATCACTGAAACATTAAAATCACATAAACATTAAGAGGAAAGAAGATCAAAGGTGTAATTTAGATTACCCTGTTCCAGATACTCTCATGTACTCTTCATGCACACAAGTGCCTATGTTACAGTATTGTGTGATGTTCATTCTGCTCTGTGACTTCACAGAAACACTGCATTGTCATCCCATCTTTTGAAGGCACCATTTAACAATGAAGTTCAGATCCCACAAGGCACACAAAGAATATAAAGCCTACAAGACAGTGCCACATTAAACCTATCAGTCTTTGTCTCCAGAGTTCAAAGTCATGCTTGGTGATGAGCTTCATGTCACATCAAGAAAGCACTGCACCATGCTATAAAGTTGTTCATTACATGCCCAAAGGTGCTACGTGGTTGGATGCAACTGAAATGATATCTCAGGTGGTAACAGATAGTGGGCACCAAAGGTAGTGTAAGAAAGGCTATGAACATTTCCATAGAAATTCTGAGCTGATAAACTTCGTGGTTTTTTGCCAAAATCTGTTTTTGTATGAATCTGTTAGCTTTCTGGGCACCACACACAAGCTTCCATTTCCTTTCTTTCTGGACAGGTGACAAGTGGAAGTGTATTAGTAGTCAGAAGCAATGCTATAAATGTGAATAGTGTTATTGAAATACCGTATGGACATTGGAATCTCAGAAATGTTCATGTATTTGTTGATTTTTAATTCCTTACAAATAAGTTGTTTTCAAATATCTAAAGCCAAGTTATAGATGCTGAAATATTTAAATAAATCACATTTGATCCTTGGTGAATGCTACAGTTGTGTGGTTTTAAAACATAAGAATAGCATTGCATGTGAAATTTGTCCTACCTTTCATCTCATAACTTGTTTTCTCAGGAGAGCAATGAAACTCCAGTTCTTATTTCTTCTTTATTTTATCTTAATCCCTCAGTCTGTACATATATCCAGGATTTTCCCATGCCAGATTCTGAACCTGGCTATATACACCAATTGGGGTGTATATAGGTTGGAGAGCAGTCCTATGAGAAGGGGATCTGGGGGTTCTGGCTGACAGCAAGCTGAACGTGGGTCAGCAGTGTGCCCTGGCAGCCACAAGAGCCAACTGTACTCTGGGATGCACCAGGCCCACCACTGACAGTGGCCGAGGGAAGGATTGTTGTCCCACTCTATGCTGTGTGGCCTCACCTGGAACGCTGGATTTGGGTGTCACAATATCCAAAAGACATAGAGCTATTAGCACTATACAGGAGGGCTACATTGTAAGTGAGAGGTTTAGAGGGCAAGATGTTTGGGGAGTGGCTGAGGTCCCTTTGTCTGTTCAGCCCAGAAAAGAGCAGGCTGAAGGGAGGCCTCGTAGAATCACCAAGGTTGGAAAAGACCTCCAAGATCATCCAGTCCAGCTGTCCATCTACTACCCATATTTCCCCACTAAGCTATCTTCTTTAGTACAACATCTAAACGTTTCTTGAACACCTCCAGGGACAGTGACTCCGCCACCTCCCTGGGCAGCCCATTCCAGTGCCTAAGAACTCTTTCAGAGAATAAATTTTTCCTAACATCCAACCTGATTCTCCCCTGGCACAACTGGAGGCTATTTCTTCTCATCCTATCACTGGTTACTCAGGAGAAGAGGCCGAACCCCACCTTGCCACAACCTCTCTTCAGGCTGCTGTAGAGAGTCTTCCAGCCACTCTGCCCTAAGCCTGTCACATTGCCTTGGGTTGTTGTGGTCAAACTGCAGGACCCAGCAGTTGGTCTTGCTGAATTTCATCCCATTGGCTTCAGCCCAGCAATACAGCAATCCAGCCTGTCCAGATACTAAAAGCATTTATACTACGTCTAAATTTTTTCTTAAGTATTTGCATATGTCATCCTGAGTGCATTATCCATATACAGTTGTGAATAGCCAAGGTACCTTCTGTATATTTTTATTTGTCTTTCTTACTTCTCGAATATTAAACTTTATTTTCCTGATGCGTAAAAAATATTGAAATCAGGGTGCTATCTAGTTTCAATCCCCCTTATGCAGGTAGGGTTGCCAACTATTACATCAGGCTGCCCAGGGCCCCATTCAACCTGGCCTTGAACGCCTCCAGTGATGGGGCATCCATAGCTTTTCTGGGTAACCTGTGCCAGTGCCTCAACACCTTCTGAGTAAAGAATTTTCCACAGCATCTATCTAAATCTCTTTTAGTTGAAAGCAACTCCCCCTTATCATTATCAGACCATGTAAAAAGTTGGTCCCTCTCCTGTTTGTAAGTTCCCTTCAAGTACTGGGAGGTGAAAGTGATGTACAGGAGAAAGCACATTCAGTATCTGTGTGAGAGGGCACAGAAGACACTCCCTTCTCTTGTAATTACCTATATTGTTTAACAAGAGCTTTAGAATTATTATTGCAAAATCTCTGAATCCGTAGTACTAGATCTGTCTAGTTTCTGTTTTGTAGCTGATAAGTTATCGAGTTTTGTAAATATTCCTTTTTCTTTTTCTTTCTGCAGGATTCATTTTGGTATATTAAGAGTGGCAGCCAAGTATCAGTGTGAAGTGCTATAGTTTTGCAATTCTCAAAAGCTCTAAAAATAAAAGTGAAAGTCAGCTGAGGGGATAAATAAAGTGCAAAATCCAAAATATGTTACAGAATTAGGAGATAACATCTTCATTTTCTAAACCAGGATCTCACAAAAAAAAAAAAAACCAGAAGTGCTATTTTAGGAATAGCCATTTAATGTAATGGATTACAATTTCACTGAAAAACATGAAAAACAAGTGGGCTACCAAAATATCTCATGATTAGCAACATAGAAGGCCAGTGCTAAAGTCAAAGGAAATGAGTAGAATTAGTTTGATGTGACCACGGTTTTTAAACAGGAGAGCTCAGCATTAAAGCAAATAATCATGAATCAGTCCTCCTCTAGCAGAGAGAATAAATGAGAATTAAGTGGTTCATGCTACAGACGGTAAGTTTTAACTGCCTGGGAGACTATGTGTTACTGCCATTGTCAGTCACAGAGTTAGATTTGTGCTGTGTCTCCTCCAGGGATGCCCCCACTTAAATGTTCATGTGTCGCTACTGGAGGAGAGGCTGACAGAAATATTTACAGCAAATTCAATGAAAAAAAACACAGTGGAAATGAGGAGGTGTTTAAGGAGTGGTTATCCAAAATGTGCTGCGTGTCGAGTGAGGGAACTGAATACACTTCAGCATACAAACAGAACAAAGATGAATTCGGCAGTATGTTTACTCAGTGCTCAAAACTGTTTATTTCACAAAGCCAAAACTAACAGTGGGCCACACCTCTCAGGGGGAGGGCAGAGTTTGAATTGGGAAAAAAAAAAAAAAAAAAACACAATAAGAAGAAACACCACCAAACCAAAACAAAAAAAAATCTGGGGCTGTTTGAGAACACTCTCATTTACATGCAGAGATCAGAATAAAGAAAGGAATATGCACTGGTTTAAAGTTGTAATAAATCTTTCTTCTTTATAGAGTTGAAGAGTGATTTAGAAACAGGAGAGAGACCAATTTGCTGGTGACTGCCAAAAATTCAATGCCAGGCTTCTGAACCAGACACCTTACTCAGTTAGATGTGCACCTACAACACACAACAAGAACAGAATATCAGAACATAGTTGTAATGATGCAGTATGTATTTGAACCAAAACATCTTTGTTGGGATGACGACACCTTACTTGTGCTCTTGCCCACACCACACCAATAAATAAGGAGAGCTGCACACCTTTCTCCTGCCGTTCTGGTAGCCAGGTCCGATCTGATCGCGAGTGTGAGGGGCTTGGAAACAGAATTTAGAATTCGCAGTGGCGTTCCATTTCCTTCCACAAGAGGGGGATCGCCTTTGCTCGATGCTCCCAAGAAAGCGAGAACGTGGCTTTGAGACGGGCTCAAAGCAGCAGCATGAAGCGTCGTGTGCGTTCCTGCCCACAGCAACAGTGCTGAGAAAGGCAGGCTTATCTCCAGCAAAGCGTCAGCCACACGCTCTGGATGACGTTGTGTAACAGCGGGCTGCAATGTCAAGTGAAGATGGGTTTAAAGTTCAAACATTCCCATCTCCTTACAAGACTGCCTTCCTGCCTTTCTCCAAAGATAGATTTTCAAATACTGGCTATTTCTGATCTGTAATAGCACATGTAAGTCCCTGATTCAAAAGGATGATGAGCAATGAGCATCCTTTTCAGAACTTATACATTAAGTATAAACAATAAAGCTAATATATAGTATTTATTTCACGGAAATGAAGGAAAAAAAAAAAGTTCTGGGTGAATGTAGGAGCCATTCTCTGACCTCAGATTTCTTTTCCTTTTTTTTTTTTTTCCCTTTTTCTTCAGATAAAATGTGAAACCTCCCAGTCTCTCTGATTTTCCTTCCTTCCTTCCTTCCTTCCTTCCTTCCTTCCTTCCTTCCTTCCTTCCTTCCTTCCTTCCTTTCTTCCTTCTTTTCTTCCTTCCTTCCTTCTTCTCTTCCTCCCTTCCTCCCTCCCTTCCTCCCTTCCTTCCTTCCTTCCTTCTTCCCTTCCTCCCTTTCTTCCTTCCCTTTTGTTTTTTGTTTTTTGGGGGTTTTTGGTTTTTTGTGTTTTTTTGTAGTGAAGACCAGTTTATAAAGACACTACTCTTAGGTCAAATTAGCAGCCTGTAGACCTCCTGCCAATGTGATGTCAGTTCATGGCCAGTCATGGCCTTTGTTCTGTACATTTCTCTTTTGTTTTCTATATCACTTCTGAATAAAATTCCTTCATCTAATAGAACACCACATCATCTTTGCTTTCTTACTTAGCTGTGGACAAGTTTATGATACCTGCCTCCTGCCAGTAATGCTGTTGATATATTAAGGTTCTCTGAATTAGCTTCTGCCAGT